CCCCCCCCCCCCCCCCCCCCAAAAAAAAAAAAAAAGAAAAAAAAGAAAAGAACAATTACAATAATAAGAATAATAATATTAATGCATAGATCCCTTCCATACCCTGATTTTGGTTCAAGGTTTAGTATATCCTTTATAATGTTTACAGTGTAGGAACTGCATGAGATATTTTATATTCCAAGTGATTGGCCTACATGGTTTTGAACCAAACCATAATCATTATGCCCCCACTGATTGGGTTTAGGTAATTTTTGCTTTAAATTGCATCTTCTTTTCTTTTTGAGTGTTTTTGAAGTGATTTTAATGCAGTATACTCTAAATGATGGATCCCCATGATGAGGCTGGATGCCAAGCTCCTCCAGAAGGTCCTTTCCTGTGCATCAACAATTGTGGCTTCTTCGGCAGTGTAGCCACTAAGAACATGTGCTCCAAGTGTCACAAGGACATGATGCTGAAACAAGATCATGCTAAGCTTGCTGCTTCATCTATTGAAAATCTTGTCAATGGATCATCTAGTAGCAACAAGGAAATGCCTGAAAGTGTTGCCAATGGTGCCATTTCTCTGGAACCAAAGACTAGTCAATCACATGCACTGCCTGCAATGGGATCTGTGGAGGGCGAAGAAGAAAAACCCAAGGAGGGACCAAAACGTTGCAACAGTTGCAAGAAGCGTGTTGGGTTAACAGGCTTCAATTGTCGATGCGGTAATGTATTTTGTGTAGTTCATCGCTACTCTGACAAACATGACTGCCCCTTCGATTACCACATGGCTGCACAAAATGCCATATCCAAAGCCAACCCCGTTGTCAAGGCTCAGAAGCTCGATAAGATCTAGATTTCTTAGGAGTTTGTGTCCTAAATTGATGCTATCCAGCTGTGAGGTGGTTTCTGATTTGCTTCAAATCTATGTATCGTCGCTTTATGTTCATATATATGCTGAAGAGATTGCAGTTCCAATATATCTGAATTCTGAAAAATCTATTTGCTTGTGATTCGTTGTTTGTGCTTTTTTCAATGGACATCATCGTTACCGGTCTGGTAATGCTTTCTCTTTGCGTTTTGTAGCTATTCCGCTTGACTATGAGTACCCTTCCTGTGTACAATTTTTCGATGCTCTTATGTTTGGTCTTCTAAGCTGTTCTGATCTTAATTTGTATCATCTTGTCAAGGAATTTGCTTGAACAAAATCTTGCAGCCTACTCGAAATTCAGAATGACAGACTTACCAATTGTCTGATGTGAATGACAAGACTCGATGGCCTTTTCAACCTGTATTGCAAATCTACCATGCACTAAAATGGTATAAACTCGTCGGTTTCTGATTCAACATTATTCTTATGGGGTTGAAATTATATCCATTTATAAATGCTAGACTATCAATAGACGATATTATTTTTTTAATAGATGAATTTGTTATATTGGGTTTGCTTTCTTTGAAATTTGGACTGTTATGTCATGTCCATTAGCAGGTTCCAGATGGTTGTAAGATTATGGACAAGAAGCATAAAGCTGAGCTCTTGATCTCTGTTCAAGCATAGCCTGTGTTTAATTTGCATTTAAAATTGAGCTTGATTCTGGGTGTCAGATAATGTTTGGTGAAAAGCATCTTTGCAGAGCATAGAAGGGTTCTGTTTTTGTTTTGATTGTTGAAAGCTAAGTGGCATAGAATAGTTAACGAAGGAAAAAGGGTTAGAGTTTTTCTGTTGTAAAGGGAATATCAGGTTAGTGGACCCCTTATCGAATAGGAGAACTTTTTAGTTACAGAGGGAGGCGAAGGCAATAGGCAATAGGCAATAGGCAATGGTTAAATTACCATTTGAAGTGTTTAGTTTTTTGTGGGATTGCATAGAAAACGAGAGAGTGGCATGCACATGCCCTTTGAAGAGGCATGTCTCCTGGGAATTAACAATTTTCAACTCATCATCCCAATTCTGTCGCACTGAATTCATCCTGTTCAGGTGTGGTCTAAACCCTAAACCCTAAACCCTAATCCCTAATCCCTAATCCCTAATCCTAACCCTAACCTTAACCCTAGAATTGAAATGGAGATTTTTAGCAGTTCCCCGGCGATCGCTCCCATTTGGTCTTCGAAAAACTCCCCCTCCCACCTTACTTTTTGTATGGGTACTCGTGTGCATCATTCTCCATAAATAAATACCATACCCTCTTCTTCCCTCCTTATTTACCTTCCCTATCCCTCTCAAATTCAATAAAATCTTTATACCATAACCAACACGTGTCAGTCACATTCCTCCGAATCTGGGAGCAGAACATGAACCGTCGTGTTGACCAGAAAATGACGGTGGTTAATCCACCAATTTGATTGTTGTTGGGGGCTTTGACGGGTGCGAAAACCAATTGGGCGATCAACAGATTGAAGCATGGGGAGTCCCGCTAAATCTTTTGAGATATTCATTAATCTTTCCTTTTACCCTCTTCTTCTTCTCTGTTTTACCTCTGTTCCTGAAAAAGACAATGGGGTCCATGAATTCAAACAATTGCCTTTCCTTTCCACTTTCACCCACTAATCCTTCATTCTCCTTGCCCGAAATCCCATTTCAAGCCCCCAATGGTATGTATGTTTATACATTCACAAATCCCTCTTGCATATCAATCTTGGATTCATCATTGTTTGTCTCTGTTTTGTAGAGTGGAATCTGATAAGTACTGAAGGCGGTGGTGAAGCTCCAAAAGTTGCAGACTTTTTAGGCGTAAGCAAGGCAGAAAATGAGACACATCTCATGGGGTTTAATGAAATTCATACAGATTACTTGTTCCCAATCACACCATTTAATGTGGACTCCACCACTACCAATTCAAATAGTCTGCAATGTTTGAATCTTTCAATGGGGAGTGGGAAGGGCGAACCCACCCCCCCACCACTTAACAACACCGCTCTACATGTCACCCCCACAAGAACTTCGGACACTCTTGGGCACAGAACTTCAATCTATCGCGGTGTCACCAGGTTTACCCTTTTCTAATATAATCTTGAATTCTCAATTTAGGATTTGTGAGTTATTATATTGTATATTGTTGTAGGCATCGATGGACGGGAAGATATGAAGCACATTTGTGGGATAATAGTTGTAGGAGGGAAGGACAGTCAAGGAAGGGTCGTCAAGGTCAACTCTTTATTATATATTTATATATATATTAAAGTTTCAAAGCCTAACTTCTTTCTTTTTCATTTTTTTCTTTTTTTTCTACTTTCTTGCATGCTCGTCTTTGTCTCTCCCATCATCTCTCGACCAGTCTATTTGGGTGAGTATTACTTAGAATATTTTCTCTTATTTTTAGAATTTAATTGGTAGTTTATACTCTATTTGAACGAAAATCAGATTTTCAATCCATTATTAATATATATATATAACAAGAGTTTAAGGTTTTGTTTGTTCTTAAATGATGATGGGCTCAAGAGGGTATGATAAAGAAGACAAAGCTGCTAGGGCTTATGATCTTGTTGCGTTGAAGTACTGGGGAACATCTACCACTACAAACTTTCCTGTAATTAACTACTTTAATTTGTTGAGATTTTTTATAACGACCCATATTCACAGCTAGTAGATATTGTTTTTTTTTTACTTTCCTTTTCATGCTTCTCTTCAAGGCTTTAAAACGCGCATCTACCAGGGAAAGGTTTCTACACCCTTATAAACGGTGGTTTGTTCTCCTCCCCAACCAATGTGGGACATCACAATCCACCCCTTTCTCACGTTGGTTGGGGAACAGAACAAACCACTATTTATAATGGTGTGGAAACCTTCTCCTAGCAAACGCGTTTTAAAGCCTTGAAGGAAAGCTCAAAAGGAAAGACTCAAAGAAGACAATATATGCTAACGGTGTGCCTGGGTACATTTTCATTACCTTATTTACTTTTAATTTGAATTTGAATTTGCAGATTAGTAACTATGAGAAGGAAGTGGAGGAAATGAAGCACATGACCAGACAAGAATTTGTGGCTGCCATTAGAAGGTTCTTCTATCAACGCTATTGTTAATCAATCAATCAATTGTGTTTTTTTTTTTTAATCACATTCTAAATAATAAATATAAATATTGCTGATTTCAGGAAGAGTAGTGGGTTTTCAAGGGGTGCATCAATGTATCGTGGTGTTACAAGGTTCAAAATTTCCCATTTTTTTGGAATTTTTTATTGTTCATAATAATTAATTATTATAAGAATGTGATGTGTTGTGGGGTTAATTAAAATAGGCACCACCAGCATGGAAGATGGCAGGCCAGGATTGGACGAGTGGCTGGAAACAAAGATCTTTATTTGGGAACTTTCAGTAAGCTCTCAACATTATAGCCTATCTATTATTTGTTTAAGATTAGCATTGTATTATTTGATAGGCACCGAAGAGGAAGCGGCGGAAGCATATGACATAGCCGCCATCAAATTCAGAGGGCTTAACGCAGTCACAAACTTCGACATGAGTCGTTATGACGTGAAGAGCATATTGGACAGCAATTCTGTCCCTATTGGCGGTGGTGCGGCCAAGCGCCTGAAAGAAGCCCAGGCCATGGAAGCCTCTCGAAAGCGTGAGGAAATGATGATTGCTCTTGGTGCTTCCTCCTCCTCCTCTAATTCCTCCAATCATAGGCTTCTTCAATCACCCAATTTCACCCAGCCTTTGCTTTTTCTCTTCAAAACCACCATGAAATTTCTCCCTACACCCACGATCCGGCGTCCTTTCACCACTCTACTTATTCCCACCATGATTCCCACTATGCTAACAACACTCATCCGTTTTACGGCGGCGGCGGCGGCGGAGACAGTAGTGGAGGGTACCTTGTAAGTGCGGTAGGGATGGGTTGTACGTTGGGGGATGAATACGCGCTGGTTAAGGTGGATTACGATATGCCTAATTCTGACGGTGGTGGTTATGGGAGCTGGTCGGAGGATTCGGTTCAGGGTTCCAACAATGGGGGGTTTTGAATCATCTCGATGATGTTTATTACACTGCACCAATGCTTTCTTATGGCCCAAACCTCATGTGGGCTGCTGCTTCCATGCATTCATAACCCCCTTCTTTTTTTTTTTTTCTTCTTCTAGAACTATAATTAAGGTTGGATTGGGTGGGATAAATTTTTGGACCCACGATATAAATTTCATAAAACTCAAATATCAAACATTTATTAGTCACCGTACATCACTAATACAGATCGCAAATGTCAATTTTTATGATAATTTTAAAAGTAGGGTTCGGTTGACATGATCAAAAAATGTCAATTCATAAACCGATCTAAATTTACTTTTATAGTTTGAATGATTGAGATTTCGAGTCATATAAATACTTATATTCTATATTACATAAATATTATATGAGGCTATATATGAAAATTTTGTCACACTGCTATAAAAACTATATTTAGATTTATATAACAATGAAATAAAATTTTAAATTATCGGAATTAAATTCTAATTTTTATGAAAAAGGAGATTGAAAATAAACTTGTTGCTTTAAATAAACATGTAAATATCATACTCAAACTACATTTTCATTATCATTTGTCTTTTGTTTAAAGACACGTTTCTTTTTTAATACTTCAACATTATTATTCTTTTTTCTTTTATTATTATCAAACTATAAATTTGTCCTATTATCGTAATTAGAAAAATAGTTTTTTTTTTTTCTAAACTACAAAATCCAAATCTAAAATTTTATATTACAGATAATAATAATAAATTATTATTAATTAGAGATAAGATTGTCTTTTCCGTAAAGCAAGTTCAAATGTTTTCCCTAAAAAAACATAATAAATTGCTTTCCCGCCACTCTAAATAATAACTATTTTTTTTTTCCTTAGTTTTTAAATCATTCACGAAAAAAAATATTATATTATATGCCAGGAATGAAGGTTAATAATTTAATTGAGTGATTAAAAATGTAAATAATGCATTAATAATTTCATAAATAATATACGGGAAGATCCATAATAATTACAAATTTTTCAAACGAAAAAGGGTATAGGTCATTTTGGTAATTTTGGTCATTTTGGTCGGACGCTGTGAAGGCCACATCATTGTGACACATAATACACACTCGCATGGTTATTTTCTTTTTAAAAAAAAGATTATAGAGTAAAGTAAATGTCTTAATTATAAACTTAAATATAAAAAAAAAAAAAAAAAAAAATTATATTTTTTTAATGGGGAAATCATGGCCGACAAAGTGCATTTAACTTTTACCTTTAAAGTACATTTGTTTCAAACTTTGACATTTGGTTGAGTGGAGGCAATATAATTACCCCTCCCTTTTTTTAATTTTATTTATTTTAAAAACAATAAATAAATAAAATGAGAAAAGAAAGCTCACACTTTTGGTTGCTATGTCTCTATTTAATCAGGTGAAATGATGCCCCGACAGGAATACAATTTATGAAACTTTACAAACTTAATTTAGCTCACATAAATTAAAACATTAATAAGTGGGGTTTTTCTGTCCCCTAAAATATTGAATTAATATTACCCATTTGAGTTAATACTATAATGTAATTAAGATTATAATAGTTTTAATTTTTCATAAATACCATACTCAATAAACATTTCAATCATTAATTATCGAATCTTTGTAACTAATGCAATAAGTTATTAAATTATTAAAATTCTCATCAATTTATATAATTTCATATAAAGTATATAAATTATTGATAATTTTTTTATCAAAAATAAAGAAATCATAACATTATTTATTAATAAGAAGAAGATTTATTTTTATAGAGTATATATATATATAAGGAGGAAAAGTAAAGGATAATGAATGGTTTTTATTTTATACACACGCTTGTGTTATAATGTCGCACATGTTTGCACGTGCTATTGGATCAATTTTAATGAAGAATCTAAAATGATTAATAAATTAAATTAAATTAAATTAAGGAATATAGCAAAAAAAAAAAAAACATTTACTTTTTACCTTCAATTTTCACCAAACAAATCAGAACATTTTCTACTTTTTTTTTTTTTTGAATTGAATTTACTTAATAAGATTTTTCGTTTATAAAATTTCTGCAACCAATTTTGAGGTCAAAGGAATTGATTGCTTGATGAATGGTTGGAATAAAAGATAGAATTAAGATAGAAGATGTGTATTCTCATTGATATTCACAACTTTAGATAAAATAAAAGGGTACCATATAAAGTAATTAAATATTAAAAATAAAATAAAATATACTGTAATCGAGAAAAAAATATTAAGATACAATATTACATTATTTAAATATACAAAATTGATTAATTTTTAAAAAATAATAATAATAATAATTAAAGCGGGTGTTCTAATGTGATGGAGCTGCAAAATGTGAGATCTGGCTTTTACCCTTCGGATCCACGAGGAATCTTTTTGGATTTTACCTCTCATTTTATTTATTTATTTATTTTTCTACCCAACTTAAATAATACTAATTTTGTCACCTTCTAATATATTTTAAAAGGAAAAAAAATGATATTAATTTTGTTATAAGATTAAAGAAAAATTCAAACGAAGCATCACCACCACATTAGTCCTTATTTTTGGAAGCATTTATGGTTGAAATAAGTGAATTGTTGCCCACATTTGTGCATCACTCGTGGATTTTATATTATAATATAAATAGCTCTTACGAATAATACAAAATTTGTGACATTATTACAATATTGTATTAGAGAAAAATGGATAATTCAATATTTGTTATTTTTGTAATTAATAGATCGGATAGAATTGGATTATTGCGGTGAATATATACTGATTAGTGGGAATATTTAGATTTGTGATTAGTGGAACTCACATGGTAGGTTTGATTAATGATTGAGCCCCAAAATGAAGGGATCTCATACTTAATGTTAATGAATAAACTAAGCAAGCAGATTAATCCCATGATTAAAAATAAAAAATATAAACACGTTCGCATCTCCCTTGGATCGTGCTGGGTGTCTCCATGTGAGAATCGTACGGTGCAGCTTTCTTTTCCTTTATTTTATTTTATTTTATACATATAATTTCACAATACATATACCTTGCTCTTATCCTTTTTTGTTTTTTTCCTGGTTTTATGGGCTGCACGTGTTCCCCTGCTTCTCATAAAAAAATATAAAAAAATTAAAAAAAAATCTTCACTTTAACCAGCTCATTACACTCGGACACATCTATTTAATGTATATATTAATGTAATAACTATAGAGTTGGAAGTAATTTGGTGTAATTAAGGTTTATAATGTATATATATATGTGTGTGAGGGTACATGTACGGTGCATTATGATTGGTGATGAAACTATATTGTTTTTAATTATTTAACCAAGTGGGCGTTAGTTTTATAGTTCCTCTACCATCTGTATCTTAATTTCTTGGGATTATTGTGACGTTAATAAATTGAAGAAAATAAATAAATTGAAGAAAATAAATTATGCTTGAAATATTTTTTGTCACGGAATTGGCAACGACATTGGTTAATGGTGTTATATACCATTGCTTCAGCTGCAAAGAGAAGCGAGTTACAGAGGTGAAAGTGGTAACTGTGAGAACCCCCAAAGCAGCAACCGGCGTAAAAGAAGCGCAAAATACGGCCTACACCAACAGACTCTAGACTCTAGACTCTAGACCTCTCCTATAAATTCCTATATACCAACGCTCTTTCCTTGATCCTTAATCTTCTTCTTCTTTCCCACGAAGCTTAGACATGGATCCGCCTCACCCATCCCCACCGGAGCTTCGTCTTCCTAGTCTCACTCCCCTCAAGATACTCGGACAAGGAGCCATGGGGACTGTCTTTCTCGTCCACGACCATCTCCTTGATCACGAGGCGAATTTCCCCTTTGCGCTCAAGGTCGTCCACAAATCGTCTTTTGTCTCTAAGCACCACGCCGAGCGCCGCGCTCGTTGGGAGATTCAGGTTCTTTCCCGGTTATCACTCCCTAAACCACACCCCTTTCTTCCTGACCTCATCGGATCCTTCGAGTCCGACGATTTTTTGGGCTGGGCTGTTCCGTACTGTCCTGGTGGGGACCTTAACGTCTTGCGTTACCGCCAAATGGACCGGGTCTTCTCGCCAGCTGTCATTCGGTTTTATTTGGCTGAGATCGTCTGTGCGCTAGAGCATCTTCATAGCATCGACATCGTTTACCGAGATTTGAAGCCGGAGAATGTATTGATTCAACAATCGGGTCATGTCACTCTAACCGATTTTGATTTGTCGCGTCAGTTGATTCGTAAGACAGTGAAAGACGTCGTTTCGCTTGATGATTCCGGCCACGAGAAGCTGCCGGCCGTCGCCGCCCGGCGGAACTTTACGCGATGGATTGTGGGGACCGCTAAAGTCAAAAAGGGTTTGAGAAAGGCTAAATCGGCTCGGGTTAGTCCTGTGAGCCGTTGGAAATCGGGTTTAATAACTAATAATGGCGAGCGGTCGAACTCCTTCGTTGGAACAGAGGAGTACGTTTCGCCGGAGATCATTCGAGGTGAGGGACATGAATTCGCCGTTGACTGGTGGGCCTTGGGAATTCTCACGTACGAGATGCTCTATGGGAAGACGCCGTTTAAGGGGACTAACCGTAAAGAAACGTTTAGGAACGTTCTAGTCAAAGCCCCAGAGCTAATCGGAAAGCGTTCAGATTTAACGGATTTGATCGAACGGTTGCTGGTGAAGGACCCCACCAAGCGGTTGGGGTACACCCGAGGCGCGTGTGAGATCAAAGAGCATGCGTTTTTTAACGGCGTTAAGTGGGACATATTAACGGAAGTCATGCGACCGCCATTTTTACCGGCTCGTGAAGAAACAGGATGGAGGGAGAATAAAGCCCCCGGTGGTGTGGGTATAGAGGAATACTTTCATAGACAGAGATCGCCGCCTTCATTTCCAGCGTCGCCGTCGCCGTCGTCATCTCCGTCAACCTCCTTCCATTTGCACAATAACAGCATATGTTTAGCGGAGTTCTAACCCACGAGGGGAGATTGCACGTGTAAGAGTTGGATATTCTTTGGGCTCTTAATGTAATTTGAGTGTAGATAAATGGAATAACCCACCAGCAGTAGTACAACGTTTGGGAGAAACGGCGTTAGTGGAAATTCATAAATTGTCGTTGGTTAAGGTAATAATAGGCAGGATTAGTAGTACACAAAAAGTCATGATTAATTTAGTAACAACAACTAAATCATGAATGCTTCATGTAATGTGCTGGAATAATTTTTCTTGTTTTCTCGAATAATAATATATTTATATATTTTTTAATGATAGATTTTTATTTTTCCTTTTGAAATAAAAAATAAAAGAATTAGATTCTGGTGGTATCATTTATAGAATTTGATGCCTCATTTATTATTTAAATTTTAAATAATAAATAAAACAAAAAACGAAATTAATCATGGTAATTATTAAAAAAGGGATAGGTGTAGCAGACAAATTTTTCTAAATTTCCGGAGTTTTTTTTAATTATATATATATATTATATATATATAGCTCCCTCATCCATTATATTTTATGGGTCTATGCAATTATTAATTTCAACTTATTGACTAAAAAAAAAATCTACTTTTTTAAATATAAAAAGCTTATTTTATGTATTAAGAGATTAGAATTTATTTTTAAATAATTTATCTTTACTGGTTTGTCTTTTATTAGAATTTTTTTTTAAAATTAAAATATTTTGAAGGCCCACCCTGGAGCTACGAGATAAAACCATGGTTTGTCATCGGACCATGGAGCCTGTGATCTTAGTGACCCCACGCCATGGGGTCCATTGAGTTTAGGGCACCCCGTCGGCCCCTCCCTTCCATTTTAAGGCCGAATAGTAAAAAGGTAGGCTCTATCTTGGTCCATTTGTTTCCTTCTTCCAAGCTTTGGAGGGCACAGTGGTTGTTTCCAATTCAGCCCTTCCCCTAATTGTCTCTACCTCTAAAATCCTCCGGACAGATTCACCCTTTCTTGTCCTTTTCAAACCTTATTCTATACCATGTCCTTGGATTCTCTATTATGTAGATTTCTCGCTTTTTAACCCCATTTTATGCCCCACATGTCACACTCGGATAAATGAAAAGTATATAAATGAACTAAACCACGTCTCTTGTAGTATAACTAATTAATTAAATTAATCCTTTTTGTTTCATATGCACAAATCATGATAAAGTGCACTAAAACGAACTCACATGACCAACCATTATGACTTTGAATGAGGCAGTTAGAAGCTGTTTACTTTTCCCGACTCTTTTTTCTAATATTTATTACTCGTAATTACACGACTATTATAATTCTAATTTATATCAATTAAACTTGTGGGCTGGGTTTCTCCAGAAATATGTGAAGGGCTTGAAGAACTTGAAGGCCCAATGACCACCCGGCCCAGTTATATTTGGGCCTAGTAATTATTATTCTTTTTTTATTAATTTGAAAATTTGTCAAAATACATAAAAAAAACATTTTTTAGTTTATTAATTTCCTATTTTCTCGACCATCCTTATTACACAAACGTCTAAGTACCCACGACATTGTCATTCATATTTCATGACTTCAAAAAAATTATCAAGTATTTATGCTAGTTCACAATTACCTCTCATACACGCCGTCGACATAAATGATTGATATTGAATTAAAAATATCTAGTAGCATCTTTTTATATATTTTAAAATATAAACTTTTAGTATTAAGTCACGTATCGATCGATACACGTGCAAAATGTCCAATTCTTACCAAGAAAAAAAAATTCTTATAAAAATTTATAATTTTATAAGTATATCACTAAACAGATAAGATATTGGTAGAATAATACATCAATGCAAATAAATATAGTAAGTATGATAAATATAGTAAGTAGGCATAGTGATCTACAATGCAATAGCTACCACAACCAAGAAAATATTTATTATTTTTGTTGTTTTTTTCTATAATATCCAAGTTAGGAAAGATACATCGATTCAAATAGGTGAAAAAGGAAAGTTTATGCTCTGTAAAAAGGTGTATTTTTTAAAATTTAAATATGGTAAGTTTTTTTATTTAAACTCATCTCATCCAATCTGATCCAAAATTTTTAATCACTTATAAATTACGGACGTAATCTCTCATATTGTTGTAGTCTCTTTGCAAGCGATCTATATTCATTCTCTATTCCATGGTATTCTTTTGATCTCCACTTTCGTGTTTTTGTTCTTCCATTTTATTTTATTTCACGAGCGTTTCTTAAAATGGTAGATGGAAGCTTAGTTATGACACTCCAAGTGAGTGGTATGATAGGAGATATTTAAGTGATTTAAATGCTCGACCTATATGGTTATATGTTGCTTCATGAAAATGGATGATGTTATTACTCGTATTAAATGCCACCGCACCATCTCAAATATCATTTTCTTTGATTATTGTTGGTTAATATTTCCAAGCTTTGCGTGTTAATTCACCACACCAAACTATTTTGCTTGCAGATTTGTGTTACGTAATTTCTCCATTTAAGTTTATTTTTAGTATAAGTTAATTCTTTGTTTGGCCTCTTTCTCTTTTTTATAATAAATTTTAAAATTATTAATAAACTTTTAAATTTTTTATTTTAATAGAAATATGACACAACAAAATTGAAAATACTCGTATTATTTCTGTCCATGAGTAAATAAATATTAAGTTTTTTTTTTAGTGGTTGAAAAAAAAAAACAGTTTCGAGAAATACGAGGTACAGACAAATAATAATAATAATAATTTTATTTGAATCCCAATAAATAGAAGAGTGTCGGTTGGTTGAAATTTTTTAACAGAGAGAAGCAAAATTAAATAATATTTTCCCATATTTTCTTAACATCTTTATTCTTTTCTTCTAAGCTCCAAACATTCCTGTCGAAGAAAAAAAAAACCAATATAATCAAACAAAAGCTGTTTGGATAATAATATAAAGTAACCAACCACATGTCAAATTTACGACCCAATTTTGGATATTTGTTTTATTTATTTATTTATTTATTTATTACCATTTCTGAAAAAACAACCAAAAAATTCAAATTTACAACCCAATTTTGGATATTTGTTTTATTTATTTATTTATTACCATTTATGAAAAAAAAAAAAAAAAAACCCAAAAAGGAATGGACCCCATTGCCTTGGCGGGGTTCGAATGAAATGGGCGCTGCTGACAGTGGATTTTATTATTTATTTTTCGAAAAAAAAAAAAAAAAACCCAAAAAGGAATGGACCCCATTGCCTTGGCGGGGTTCGAATGAAATGGGCGCTGCTGACAGTGGATTTTATTATTTATTTTTCGAAAAAAAAAAAAAAAAACCCAAAAAGGAATGGACCCCATTGCCTTGGCGGGGTTCGAATGAAATGGGCGCTGCTGACAGTGGATTTTATTATTTATTTTTCGAAAAAAAAAAAAAAAAACCCAAAAAGGAATGGACCCCATTGCCTTGGCGGGGTTCGAATGAAATGGGCGCTGCTGACAGTGGATTTTATTATTTATTTTTCGAAAAAAAAAAAAAAAAACCCAAAAAGGAATGGACCCCATTGCCTTGGCGGGGTTCGAATGAAATGGGCGCTGCTGACAGTGGATTTTATTATTTATTTTTCGAAAAAAAAAAAAAAAAACCCAAAAAGGAATGGACCCCATTGCCTTGGCGGGGTTCGAATGAAATGGGCGCTGCTGACAGTGGATTTTATTATTTATTTTTCGAAAAAAAAAAAAAAAAACCCAAAAAGGAATGGACCCCATTGCCTTGGCGGGGTTCGAATGAAATGGGCGCTGCTGACAGTGGATTTTATTATTTATTTTTCGAAAAAAAAAAAAAAAAACCCAAAAAGGAATGGACCCCATTGCCTTGGCGGGGTTCGAATGAAATGGGCGCTGCTGACAGTGGATTTTATTATTTATTTTTCGAAAAAAAAAAAAAAAAACCCAAAAAGGAATGGACCCCATTGCCTTGGCGGGGTTCGAATGAAATGGGCGCTGCTGACAGTGGATTTTATTATTTATTTTTCGAAAAAAAAAAAAAAAAACCCAAAAAGGAATGGACCCCATTGCCTTGGCGGGGTTCGAATGAAATGGGCGCTGCTGACAGTGGATTTTATTATTTATTTTTCGAAAAAAAAAAAAAAAAACCCAAAAAGGAATGGACCCCATTGCCTTGGCGGGGTTCGAATGAAATGGGCGCTGCTGACAGTGGATTTTATTATTTATTTTTCGAAAAAAAAAAAAAAAAAAACCCAAAAAGGAATGGACCCCATTGCCTTGGCGGGGTTCGAATGAAATGGGCGCTGCTGACAGTGGATTTTATTATTTATTTTTCGAAAAAAAAAAAAAAAATTGTAGATAAGAGCTGAGAGGCCAAGATGATGTAGGTGATGGGGTGAAATTTGGGATTTGGGGAATGGGATTTCGTAGCGATTCCCTCCCATTCCCCAAATCCCTGAAAAGTTCATTAGAGATTGGTTTCCAATTCCAGTGGTCTCCAATGGCGTCAAAACCCACCTCCTGTATTTTCGAATCCTTGCGAAACAGTCAAACCCTACTGGAAAACGACACTGTATCCGTGATTTTCAGTTGTCTTCATATGCCTTCTCTCACACCCACTTACCGAAAATTACCTTTTACAATTTTAGTTTTTGGTTCCTTACTTTTAGTATATTTTGCTTTTTCACTTCACCATTCTTGGCATTCACGAGATGTCTTGACGCAACTTCAATTATGGGGCTGTTTCTGTTTTATCTCTATATATAACTCCTCATATTTGCTTGCTCTCCTCCACATTTGCTTTTGATTATTCATTTGTTTGATTATATGTTGTTTCTGAATGTGGGATTGTCATTCTGTCTTTTCTGAATTGGGTTTTGTTTTCTGTGTTTATTACTAATCACCAAATGCTTTTCATTCTATGATCTTATCCCTTCACTGAATTCAGATTTGGGTTCTGTTTCACATTTTTGGTTCTATGATGAAGGTTTGTCAGTCTCTGAAAATGTGGGTGGTTTGGGTGGCCTTAATGGCATTCCTTCTGTGTCATTGTGATGCTCTTAAGGAGTGTACAAACATTCCTACTCAACTGGGATCACATACTTTGAGATATGAGCTCTCATTATCACATAATGAAACGTTGAAGAAAGAGATGTTTTCTCACTACCACCTCACACCAACTGATGATGCTGCTTGGT